AGGAGTTCCCTCAGTTCTTTGCTTTTAGTTTGGAGAAAAGGATAAAGCCTAGGCACCTTGAGGTCATGAAAAGTGGGATCTATTTGCCTCTGGGTCTCATGCTCAAGAGCACTGATGAAGAGTTTAAGAAGTTGTTGAGTCAGGGGAATATCAGGTGATTCATCACTAATATTTGGATACCAGATGTATGTAAGTTTCATTTTAGACCTCCTGTTCTTGTAAATTTGGCCAATTTCATATTTTACAACATAATTTAAGTATATTAAATGGATTTTGTTGATGATGAAGGAAATCATTTAACTTTTGCAGAATCATAGGATTAATATCACAATTCACAGGCAACCAAGAAGAATCTACAAAAAGTGCTATTAAATATTTCAAATAAAAGCAAGAGGTAGACATTCTTGCATATAGGTGGATAAATCCTAACAATGCTTTAGGATTGTTGATGAGATTTGTTTAGAAGTCTTTCCTTGATGGCTTGCAATGTTTCTATTTTCTTTCTCAGTGTTTCAGCCTCGTCCTGGAGGCTAAGGATTGTTTCAGCAAGCTGGGCAATATCGGGTTCTTTTGCATCACTCCCATTCTTTTCTGCGTCAATTTTTTCCTCTTCTGAGTAACTCTTTTGCTCATACTCTTTTCCACTACCTTCTGTCGCTCCCTCTTCCCACTCTTCTGTATCACTACTGTGAACTTCTTTCTCCTCCTCTTCCATAGTCAAAGAAGCGCATTTAAGATGGATGCCGACACTACACCTTCCACAAAGGTAGGTGCAGCCAATGCATATGTCATCGCACTTGAGGCATGTCAAATGGTCGTTCTGAACAAGGAACAAAGGGGGCATCGGATGCCAAGGATCTCGTATCTCAAAAGGTAACTCTGAGCATGATTTGTGCAGGTGGAAATTGCATTTTTCACAGCCATATGCCAGACCACAGATCATCTGGGAGCAGCCATCACAGCAGAGCTTGGAATAGGATTTTGTTAATCATGATTCATGTCACAAAAATTCTTTAAAAAAATAATTAACTAGTACTTGTTGACATAATCAATTATTTGAATATAATCAATTCCTTTTCAGAGTCATTAATTACTAAGAAAGTTTTCTTTTGGCAATTTTTTTTTTTTTTTTTCAAGAATGGCTAATCTTGCATGGTCTTTTTCCTAAGGTCACATATAACACTTTTTTTTTTTTTTTTTGTTAGAAAACAGAATTTCGCACACGTAATCAATGTTATTCCATACAATCGACTATATGCTCTTGATCCTGAATTCTTTTTTTCCTGGACCAAGTCATGACTTGATTTTTATGGACTTTCTCGGATTGTTCTTTCGAGATCCATTGTAACCAAACACGGCCATAAAGTTACAACTGTTCGAGGGGATCCTAAGTCATATGCTTCCTGATTAGCATTTATTTTATATACCGTTTTTGGCAGGGCGGGTATTCCAGCAGAATTGCTTAAAGTTACGTGGTTTCAATTGAGCGGGTCTGTACCAGTAATTCCTGGAAAGAAGTATCGCATTAGTTTCAAACTGGGCTTCAATCCAAACTCATTTGGTTGGAAGGCCCATCCTACTTTTCTGATGGCCAAGATAGGGAAAAGTGGACGGTACGTCTGGAAAAGTCTAAAGGGAGTAGAGCGGATGCCCGGAGGACCAATTGACTTACCGGACCATTGCAATCCATTTGAAATTGAAGTTCCACCCTCAGCTTTGGACACAACGCTTTATTTTGGGATTTAGGAAATTTGGTCTGGCAGGGAAAAGAGAGGGTTACTAGTATATAGCGCATCTGTCAAAGAAGTAAAAACAGATCATTAAGCTCTGTTCAGATAATTTGCTGTCAAGTATGTTTTTGTTTCTTATCAGTTGTTAGCAACTAGCCTGGTGTTGAGCCTTGTCATTGCTAAACAAACTGCATTGTCCTAAGTTTTATGTATTCTGTGGGTGCCAGAGGCAAGTCTATTCTCAAGGATTTATTTTCTGAAGCTTTCTATGATAAGTTTTGGCTGCTATTTTTCTTGCCTGATTAAGCTGGTGCTTTAAGAAAGAACTCATACATGCGTACTGTGTTTGTTTGAGGATGATTTCAGGCCAACGTTTGAGTATTTCAGTGAGGCGATGAAAGGGAAGTTGGAGAAGTTTTAAGGAGTTCCCTCAGTTCTTTGCTTTTTAGTTTGGAGAAAAGGATCAAGCCTAGGCTGTTAGACACCTTGAGGTCATTAAAAGTGGGATCCAATTGCCTCTAGGTCTCATGCTCAAGAAACATTGATGAAGAGTTTAGGGAGTTGATGAGTCGGGAGTATCATCAGATGATTTCATCACTAATATTTGGAACCACTTAATACAAAAGAAGAGGGTACTTCCTAATCTCAAAATATTCTGTTTGTTAAAACTTGAAATAAAAAGAGGGTCAGAGGATATTACAAGCTATGATACATTTTATGAAAACAAAACCATATATTTATATGTATAGCTCAGTACACCCAATCCTGTATCAGGAATGAAGGCATCTCTCGAGGTAGCAGAAGTTTGACCTATCTGAAGAACACGTCTTGGGAGCCAAATGCAGCCCAAGCATTCTGAATTCACAAAATACTATGTGTTAGAGTTTCATCATTTTCTATTTCTTATTAAAATCGATAAAGAATATACATTTACCTGGAGAACAGAGAAGACCTTGTCTGCAACATATTTCTGCAAGTGTGTAGCTCCTCTCTGTTGCAGTTTATCTGGGTGAAGGCATAATCTTGCTTTCTGATAAGCTTTCTTCACCTGTGAGCTGTCTGTAAGGCTCGTCAGAGAAACTGCGTGCCACCCACTGTTAGGCCATAGAATCTGCATTCATTTAGCAATCAAGTTTAACTTAAAAATATGGTAGCTTGTAATTTTTAAATCAACAAAATCCTCAAAGTTGAAATTAAAATGTTAGCTTACATGATGCAATGTTGAAAGGAGCAATCTGATGTTGTTTTCTTTTCCAGATGACCATAGCTTTATGTCTTCATCCATCGACTCCATTTCTATCTGCCGTTTCGTTCATCAAAATCATGTCACAAACATGAAAAAGATCCCTAATTTAAGACCTCTAACTTGGAAATCTCAAGCTCAAACTGTCGGCCTATCCTCAATGGGACATTTTTCCCCACGAGTTTATTTGGGCACTCACGTGTTAATTTCATTGACAAAAAAGAATTACCCGTTCTTTTGATCGGTTCTTTTCTTCTTCTGATCTCCATATTTTCTGTTCTGCTTCCTGCAAAGAAACAAAAATGATTCAATATTTTTCATTATATTACCTTGCAGCCTAAGATTTTGCTTTACCTTAAGAAACAGAATGATGAAATAAAAAAATGCAAATGGAAATATTAATATTGTGATTGAAGTCTGAAGATGCAATGCCCAATTTCGGGTTGCATTTGCATGTGTTTGAAGGTTAAATCAAGCTCAATTTCTTTGGTTTGGAAAAGAGTTTCTTACCAACAATGGAAATTTCCCTGTCACGTTCCCATCAGTTTGGTGAAATGATTGATCTCCAACAGCACTTGACTTCCCTGCAAAATTCAATAACAGAAAACAATCAAACACAAAAAAGAAAAGAGACATCAATAGTCCTGCAATTTGATCTTCTCATAATCATTTTCAGGTAAAACTGCAAGTTATCATCCTTGATCGCCTCTACCTTCTGCTTCAACAGAGTGTTGCTCTTCATGTTGCCTTGGGGAAATTTGTGTCTGATACTTCTCCTTTGCCCATGCAATGGCTTCAGCAATAGAAACGGCTTCATTAGTCCCTTCTCTGTATTCAGAATTGATTTCGATCACATAAGAACTCATGACTTCATCTTCCTCCTGGTCTGCCTCCTCTTCTTCCATTGTTCCGGGTCTTGTCCCTGGTTCTTCACAGAGTGAAGAGGCAGGGGAGACGACAGGAGATGCTGGAGAATTGAGTTCAAAATCATCCCTGGATAACTTGATGCTTCCATATGAATTGGGTTCTAAGCTAACAGTTTCAGGTGAGCAGGCGTGTCGCGAGAATTCGTAATAGGAGCTTCTGAAATTGTTGTCGTACTCATTTTCCGTGAACTGGTTGCAGGGGAAGGCCGGCATAGTCCCCTGTTTCCTCTGTTGTTGTTCATTGGAGTTCCATCTACAGGGGACATTGATTGGCCTACAGCAACAGAAATCAAATCTTTTTTTTAATTAATACCTTCAATATTTCCAAAATTAACCATAAGAGTTTAGTCAAATTGATTATTTATTTATTTATTTATTTATTCAGTGTAACACTGTATTTGAGCCATTTTTCATGCATTTCAATTTAGAACATTATTTTTTTTAAGTATTATCTTAAAACTTAATTAATAACTTTACCTTATAGAATCACACTTACTTAACGGTATATTATTTTATCAAAATAAAATTTTTTAAATAAACCCTTTTTAGTTTTTAT